AACTCATCTGGACCTGGGATTTTTTTGATTGGTAGGCTATTAATGGCTGCCTCAACTTCAGACTTTGTTATTTGTCTATTCAGGGATTCAACTTCTTCCTGGTTTAGGCTTGGGAGGGTGCAAGTGTCCAGGAATTTATCCATTTCTTCCAGATTTACTGATTTATGTGCATAGAGTTGTTTGTAGTAATCTCTGATGGTAGTTTGTATTGCTGTGTAATTGGTGATGATATCCCCTTTATTGTCTTGTATTGCATCTTTTCGATTCTTCTCTCTTTTCTTTTATTTTAATCTGGCTAGTGGTTCGTCTATTCTGTTGATCTTTTCAAAAAACCAGCTCCTGGATTTATTGATTTTTTTGGGAAGGTTTTTTTTGTGTCTTTATCATCTTCAGTTCTGCTCTGATCTTAGTTATGTCTTGTCTTCTGTTACCTTTTGAGTTTTTTCCTATCTTGTTCCTCTAGCTCTTTTAATTTTGAAGATAGATGCCAATTTTATATCTTTCGTTGCTTCTCGTGGGCATTTATTGCTATAAATTTCCCTCTAGACACTGCTTAAATGTGTCCCAGAGATTCTGGTACATTGTATCTTCATTCTCATTGGTTTCAAAGAACATCTTTATTTCTGCCTTTATTTCATTGTTTATCCAGTCATCATTCAGGAGTAAGTTGTTCAGTTTCCATATAGTTTTGTAGTTTTGAGTGAGTTTCTTTATCCTGAGTTCTAATTTGATTGCACTGTGGTCTGAGAGACTGTTTGTTTTAATTTCCATTCTTTTGCATTTGCTGAAGAATGATTTACTTCCAATTATGTGGTCAATTTTACAGTAAGTGTGATGTGATGCTGAGAAGTATGTATATTCTATGGATTCTGGGTGGAGGGTTCTGTAGATGTTTATTAGGTCTGCTTGGTCCAGATCTGCATTCAAGTCCTGGATCGTCTTGTTGAGTTTTTGTCAAATTGATCTGTCTAATATTGACAGTGGAGAGTTAGTCTCCCACTATTATTGTGTGGGAGTCTAAGTCTCTTTGTAGGTCATTAAGAGCTTGCTTTATATATCTGGGTGCTCCTATATTGGGTGCATATATGTTTAGGAATGTCAGCTCTTCTTGTTGCATTGATCCTTTTACCATCATGTAATGCCCTTCTTTGTCTCTTTTGACTTCTGTTGGTTTAAAGTCTGTTTTATCAGAGACTAGGATTGCAACCCCTGCTTTATTTTGCTACTTGCTTGGTAGATCTTCTTCTCTCCCTTTATTTTTAGTCTATATGTGTCTTTGCACGTGAAATGGGTCTCCTGGATACAGCACACCATTGGGTCTTGACTTTTTATCCAGTTTCCCAGTCTGTGTCTTTTGATTGGGGCATTTAGGCCATTTACATTTAATGTTAATATTGTTAGGTGTGAATTTGATCCTGCCTGCATCATCTAATGGGCTGGTTGTTTCACCTGTTAGTTGATATGGTTTCTTCATTGCATAGTTGGTCTTTACCATTTGGTATGTTTTTGCAAGGGCTCGTACTGGTTGTCCCTTTCTATGTTTAGTGTTTCCTTAGTCTCAGGAGCTTGTAAGCCTTGTCTGGTAGTGACAAAATCTCTCAGAAATTACTTGTCTGTAAAGGATTTTATTTCTCCTTCACTGATGAATTTTAGTTTGACTGGATATGAAATTCTGGGTTGATGGTTCTTTTCTTTAAGGATGTTGAATATTGGCCCAATTCTCTTCTAGCATGTAGGGTTTCTATGAAGAAATCCACTGTGAGTTTGATGGACTTCCCTTTGTTGGTAACCTGACCTTTCTCTCTGGCTGCCCTTAGCATTTATTCCTTCATTTCAAACCTGGTGAATCTGATGATTCACATTGGCATTGCTTTTCTTGAGGAGTATCTTTGGGGTGTTCTCTGGATTTCTTGGATTTGAATGTTGGCCTGCCTTGCTAGGTTAGGGAAGTTCTCTTCGATAATATCCTGAAGAGTGTTTTCCAGCTTTGATTCATTCTCCCCATCATATTCAGGTACACTGATCAAGCGTACATTAGGTCTTTTCACATAATCAAATATTTCTTGGAGGCTTTGTTCATTTCTTTTCACCTTTTTTCTCTAATCTTGCCTTCTCATTTTATTTCATTAAGTTGATCTTCAATCTCTGATATCCTTTCTTCTGCTTGATCGATTTGGCTATTGAAACTTGTGTATGCTTCATGAAATTCTCATGCTGTATTTTTCAGCTCCATGTTGGTTATGTTCTTCTCTAAGCTGGTTATTCTATTTAGCCATTCATCTAACCTTTTTTCAACGTTTTTAGTTTCTTTGCTTTGGGTTGTAACATGTTCCTTCAGCTCAGAGAAGTTTGTTATTATGCACCTTCTGAAGCCTGCTTCTGTCAGTTCGTCAAACTCATTCTCCATCCTGTTTTGTTCCCTTGCTGGTGAGGAGTTATGATCCCTTGGAGGAGGACAGGCATTCTGGTCTTTGATGATTTCATCCTTTTTGTGCTGTTTTCTTTCCATCTTCATGGATTTATCCACCTTTGATCTTTGTGATGTTGGTGATTTTGGATGAGGTGTCTGAGTGGACATCTCTGTTGATGTTGAGGCTATTTCATTTTGTTTTTTAGTTTTCCTTCTAACAGTCAGGTTCCTCTGCTGTGGGACTGCTCGAGGTCCACTCTGGGCCTTAGTTGCCTGGGAATCACCTGCAGGGGCTGTGGAGCAGGGAGGATTGTTGCCTGATCTTTCCTCTGGTAGCTTTGTCCCAGAAGGGTACCTGCCTACTGTAGCCTGAGCTTTCCTGTATGTGGAGTTTTTCTGGTTATACAGGGGTCAGGGGGCTGCTTGAGGAGGCAGTCTGTCTCTTGTTTGCCTGCTGAAGGGTGGCTAGGCTGCCTTGAATGCTTCTATGTAGGCTTCCTCTGGCTTTTGTTTACACAGATGTGATTAGACCCACCTTTGCAATGGCAGATTTCCTTCACCCTATGGAGCTCAATTGTCCTGGGTCGAGCTTGAACCGATGTGCTGGCTGCAAAACTCTCAAGTGAGAGGGCTTCAGTTGCTGGGCTTTGTGGGGGTGGGACCTGCCAAGCTGTATCACCTGTCTCCCTGCTTTCAACTCTCTCTCTTTCTGGGGTGTGGGTAGCTCTGTCCCGTGGGTGCTCTCAGTGATAGTCAAATCTCCCATCTAAATCTGTGCTGACAACTTACGGTGCCAGCCAAAGCTGCCTCTCAGATCTGTGCTGATAACTCATGGTGCTTTCAGTGGGGATCTCCTAGTCTGTGGGTTGCAGAGGGCAAGAGAGAAGCACAGTGTCTGAACCACAGTGCTGATGCAAGGAAGGGAAAATCCCCGATCCTCGGGTCAGTCGCACTTCCCAGGTGAGGCAGCACCCTGCCCAAGGCAAGCTTTTATCTAAATCATTTTTGGTCTCCTCCACATCAAGTAACGTAATATCTAGTCACAAGTAATTATATAAGGGAGAATGGACAGGCAAGGGAGAAAGCAAACTGCAGTGCTATATTACCTGATTAAAGGAACTAACATAAAAATATTTAATATGACTTTTCCAACGTTGCTGGTTTCAACAGTCACAATGTAGAGAGAATGTGCGTGCTTGGCTCCTCCATTGTATGTTTTTAAAAAATCTCTCTTAATGACTCCTTATACTCTAGAAGCTCCAAATCTGGTTTTGGTTAGCCTGAACAAGCAAATTAAATGCTTCATATGTCAATGCTTGAATCAATACAACTATTTTAGGTGAAGATTCAGAAACTTCAAATTGGGTTGAGTCAGCTGTTTTCACTGGAAGAGACTTTTTACACCTAGATATCTATTAATTTCACAGGGGAAGAATTGAGGCTCAGAGATCTAACTATCCCAAGGCCACACAGCTATTTAATTATCATGAGATGCAGCACTGGTATCCAGGACTAATGATTCATCTTTCAGTTGTCTTTCTCCATTGACAAACACGGCAGCAGCCATCTGCTTTGGATTTGCCTAGGCCTGTCTTTTCTTTTGTTTGTAATGCTAATTCTGGTACTAGTGCATCAGCTGTGGGGTAGATTGAACATGGACTGGAACTTTGTGCTGTTTCTTCAACAGTAAGGCTCTTGTCCCTTGACTGGGCAAAACTGTATTTTTTTTCTTTTAGATTGAAAGTGGTTTATATTCCAAGGGGTTGAGACCAGGTAAGAAACTATAAGACAGAAGAGGAGAAGTAATACTAGGTTCCAATCAAAACACCAAAGAGAAATGTTAGAAACTAGACCAAAAGGGTATTATTTTAGCTTTATGAGGAAAGGAAGATTATTAAGTCTACATGGTAACTGGCCAGACCTGCTTTAATTATAAATTTTAAATCACCTTCTATGCCAGCCCAACCTCTGATTAATGAACTAAATGGCACTAAAATTAATTAGCCTATATTGAATATGGCTTAATGAGATTTCTTTATATAAAAGAATATCTTGAAGTCATATCATCAGTAGCCATATTCCACTTTTTGTTTATTGAAAAATTGCCCGGGTTTCTTTTTTATATTCCTTCATTTATAATCTGTTGAGCATCTCCTGTGTAACAGCTACTCTTTAAAGATGCATACATCATCCTTTTTATCAAAACCATGACTGAACAACTACATTCAAGCTGATGTCTGCAATTTACTGACAAACAACAAAAACAGTCACATCATTTCAAAGCTGGTTTCTCTTCCTGTGTCTGCATGGGCAACACAAGCAAGCCTGCATCTTTCCTCTTTTTCCATCTCAACTTCTTTTCATGGTCTGCTGTGTTTTCTCTGTATCCCTTGCTGCTTTTTGTTCCAGGCCCTTCTTTCTTAAGATAAAGTTTCTGAATCACTGCTATCAGCAGGGAGTCAGGCAGCATGCAGAATATTCAGAGGCAGATCATTGGAAACTCCTGGCTTTTTAATTTAAAGGTTGACTAGGTTACCCTGTAGCAAAGAGGTGTGTTTTTTCATTTGTTTTGTGATTTTTCTTTTCGTAGGTTCATAAAAAGGAGGTGAGCCAGGTGGTTCCTGGAAAGAAAAGAACAAGGAAATTGCAGCAATCACAAGCCTTGGGCAGAGATAACTACGAAACCTCACCTTGAGAAGCAGATCTGAGCCACAGGAGTGAGATTTTTCCTTTCGCAAATGATTTGTCAAGCCTCTCCCTGCAGAGCTTGTACTGTAGCCACAAATGTCTACAGATCAGCCTCCAGCCCTCAGTGAGCAAATGAGAACCTGGGTCATCACCATTCCCATTTCTGCTCCACTTTCTCCTTCCCAGGAGTTTAGGCTGGGCTTACATTCTCCCTCAGCAAGGACTCAATCAATCCTCTTCCTTCTTCTTTTTTTTTTTGCCAATCAGTTTGAGCTTATGAGGTTGCTCAGGTTAGCCTTGAACCTCGCCTTCGCAAGAGCCACTACCTCCGGCGGGAGCCACTTTGGACCCCCGATCCTCTTCCTTCTAAGTGGTGCTTTGTGTGCAAAGCTGAAAAAGGATAGTTCTCTGTAGGGACTGATGGGGCATTGCCATCAAGCCTGCCCTAGGCCCAGGATCTAGAGACAATATGGTGAAATGTGTGTGTGAATAAAGGAAGAAGGAAGTCACTGAAGACAGGAAATAAAGTGGAGGTGGGTAGGGAGTGGGGCTTTGGGAGGCAGGTGTGGATGACAAAACCTACTGCATTAATTAGCATACTACTTATTGCTACAACAGATAAATCCACACATTTCAGTTGCTTAATCCTAAGAAAACCTATTTCTTGCTCATATGAAGTCCAAAACAAGTATTCCTAATTGGCAAGCAACTGTCTTCCTAAGCTATAATTCAGGAACCTAGACTCCTTGAATTGTATGCTCTACACCACCTTTAATGTGTGGCCTCTAAGTACCTCTCCATGAATCTAGAGGAGGGGCAAGAACCTGGAGGGTTAAGTGTGAGGATTTTCATGGTTCAAGACTAGAAGGGTCACACATCACATTTTCTCACATTCTTTTGGCTAGAACCCAGTCACACAGAATGCCTAATGGATAGAGAGGCTGGGAAATGTAGTCTAGTTGAGTGCCCAAGAAAAAAAAATGGGTTGGTGAGCAACAAGCTAGTTTAACATTGCCTATTTAATTTTGCACAAGGGAAGCCCTGAAGATAGTCCCAAAGTACAGATCTATAGGTTGGAGTTGTCATATTCCTGGAATTAAAGGAATTCTCAAAACTTGAATACAATATAAAGAATCCTTGGATTGTATAGTTGACATTGATGTCTTTTGATTATCTTAGTGGTTTATGGCAAGATATTTTGGCTTTAACTATTGGTCATCAAAATTTTGCTGAATCAAGAACCCGAACCTATTATATTGCTTGTGTTCTTTACTAAGAGGACCAAACACCCTGTTTAATTATGAGCAACAATGGACTTTTAAATATTTTCCCTTCAAGACAAATTACCACCAAATATCTTCGCAAATTTTGATTTGTATTATGCCACCCGCTTCCAGCAAGATACACGTTACCAATGTACAAATGAACGTATGTCTTCTTAAAGCTATTTTAAAGATAAAATGGTAAAAAGTTCTGATGCCCTAGAAAAATTGATTCATCATCATATTTAAAGATGTGCCTCATTATGTGCCAAGAACTATGTTAACAGAGATATGTTCCTCTGTCGGTCAGTAAGTTTGCTTAGTCCAGGGAAGAACTCAAGAGTCTATTTCTAACTAGACATTTTTACTGAGTGTAGAATTTTGGGTTGAAATGTCTTTTCTTTCAGCACTTGAAAAATGTGTCACTTCCAAGTGGTCTTCATGGTTACTGATGAGAAATCTGTCATTTATTCAAATTTTTTTTCTCCTCTAAGTAAGGTGTTATTATTCGCTGGCTTCTTTCAGGATGTTTTTCTTCATCTTTAGTTTTCAGATATTTAATTTTGATGTGTCTTGGTATGGATTTCTTTGGACTTATTCTTTGAGAGTTTTCTCAGCTTTAATCTGTAGGTTAACGTCCCTTGCCAACTTTAAGAGGGTTTCAGCCATTATTTATTTGAGTAGTTTTTTTTAGCCCCCTCTTTCTTTACTTTTTCTAGGACTCTGATGACACAGATGTTAGAGCTCTTATCTTTAAATCTTTTATTTGTGCAATAGTCACACAGCTCTCTGAGGATCAGTTTACTTAATTTTTTGTCTTCCCTTTGTTGTTCTGATTGAGTGATTTTTATTGTTCTATCCTCTAGCTCATTGATTCTTTCCTCTCTCTCCCCAATCCTGCTGTTGAACTCACTCTCTGAAGTTTTATCTTGGTTACTATATTTTCCATTTCTAGAATTTCTATTTGGTTATTCTTTATGTATTCTAGAGATCTTTCTCTTTGTTGTTACAAGTGAGTTTTCGTTGAAACTGGGACATTTTCATGGTAAGTTATGAGACTTTCAATCTCATTTGAGCTGGCTTTGATACTGCTTTGGCAGAGGAAGTGGATGGTGGGGAACTGGGGGAGAAAGGTGTCACCATATGTGATCACAAGACCAGGTATCCCATTCAGTCTCCATTGACACCTGAAGCGGGACCTCCTCATTACTGTTGGACAAGGGTAAGAGTTCCAGCCTCCCACATAGTTCCCACTGATGCCGTGTTGGCATTGGCTGGACTATCAGTGAGCAGTGTGGAAGTTCCTGACTCTTCAGTGGGCCTCCTCTGAGACGCCCCAGCAAGGATACCTCCCAGAAGGGAGGGATGAACCCTCATTACTATTGGGTGGTAGTGGAATCTAAGCTGCTAAGTGTTCTCCATGGATACCATGGAATGGGAATTGTTACCAGATGATGAGGATAAAAATTCTAGCTCCCTACTAGGCCTTCTCTGCAAAACCTTAGTGGGGTATTGAGAGAACTTGTTAATAGCCTTTTGAGGGTAAAGTCCAGGCTTCCATTTTGTTCTTGGTGCATGAATAGAGGTAGGGAGATACAAATATATACATATTTTTAACCTGTGGTGCTTGTCTGAAGTAGAACAATTATTGTCTGAAAGTTTTCTGTCTTCCTAGACTGCCTCTTTGAAGTAGGCTTTTTTTTTTTCTGGTTTGCAACTTTTGGCATTTCTGAGTTACCAGCTTTGGCATCAAGTCTAGGATATATGAAGCAAAAGGAAAATCCAGGAAACTTACCAGTATGTCATTTTTCAAATCAAGATTTTTCAAATCAAGGTCCCTAACCTGTCTACTTTCTTCTCTCCATCTTTCAGTCTTAAGTTTTGATATATATAACATACAGGGATTTTAATTGTACTTAGTTGCGGAATAGGTAAATAATTTGTTTACTGCATCTTCCCAGAAGTGCAAGTACAATTTTTATGTACCTTTTAAATGTGATCAGATTTATGTTAAAAGGACTAGTCTGGTTTCTCTTATGGAGAGGTGACCATGAAGTGGATGGGGGGCTGGGGTGAGGGGTAGGGAGCAGTGGAAGAAGGCTATCATGGGCTTTTGGTCTACGGATGAAGGTGTCTCCTGTTAGGATGCTTATGAAGAAGGTGGTGAGAAGTAGTCAGATTAAACATATGCTATATTTCAAATGTAGAGCCAGTATGGAAAAGCTGGTACAAACACAGTGAGGGACTGTATGTCCAAGTTCCTGCAATTCCTGGGTTTATGTGGAATACTTTGGAATATGTCTAATAAATTACATTTTTGACATGTGGCAGGATGGGGTTTTCTTTTCTCTCCCTTCTTCATCCAATCTCTCTCTAGAAGAGTTTTAGTATGATAGAAAATAGAGATGAAAACCTTGTTTACAAAACGATGCAATAGCTATGCATTGAAAGAAAGTCAATATTAGCAAGATAAATTTGACTTGTCTTGTAGATGCTTCTTTTCAAAACCTAGAGAGATTCAAGGTTCCCCTTTGATTGACAGGAGAGACAAAATCAAGGTTCCATCAGCTGCATTTCCAGTCTGGGTCTGGAGCATGATGAAGACTTGGTGGATCTCTTTCAGAATGTAGAGCCAGATTGTGGAGATGGGGAAGAGGACAGAGAGACAGAAAAGAAGGGAGTAGGAGAAAAATCAAAAGTAAGATTAGTGATACATACTCTTTCGAAGGATGTTCTGGATAAATGTCTGGAAGTGAAATAATATGAAACGTTTTGTAACATTTTCTGAATTTCATGTAATATGTTATCTTCATATAATAAGAGTGTCCCTGTTCACTCTTCTGATATTGTAAGCAAATTGAAGAGACATTTATAATTTGAAGTGGTCTTCTATAATTTGTAGTCAAAGAGTTTTAAACTACAATGCTTTGAAGTAAGACTGAAAAGTATAATCCAAAGAAGGAAATAGAATATGAATATAAAGACCAATATCTCCTAATAAAATACAATAATTGCTTCACAACTTTGGCTCTAAACTTTTGGGTGACAGAAACAAAAGGGTAAACATAATCTGTTATAGAGGTCTTATTTCCCATTAGGGTACAATATACCTGATCTGTAAATGTTACCATAAACTTTAACTCTGAAAGATATTTCTTACATATTTTCATTGAAGGTAGGCCAATTTATTGGAAGTCAATTTGTCAAGTGGCCAGTGTATATAGTCTTTTTTTATTTTTTTGAGACAGATTTTTGCTCTTGTCCCCCGGGCTGAAATGCAGGGGCATGATCTCAGCTCACTGAGACCCCTGCCTTCTGGGTTCAAGTGATTCTCCTGCCTCAGCCTCCCGAGTAGCTGGGATTCCAGGTGCCCGCCACCATGCCCAGCTAATTTTTGTACTTTTAGTAGAGACGGGGGTTTTGCCATGTTGACCAGGCTAGTTTTGAACTCCTGACCTTAGATTATCCACCAGTCTCGGCTTTCCAAAGTGCTGGGATTACAGGCATGAGCCATTGTGCCCAGCTGAATATAGTCGTAAATGCATTTTTGACCATGAGGTAGTCTTAAGAATTAGTAAGATGGTATATCAATAAGTGTTCTGCGACATTTTCTGAGAACATTTTTAAAGAACATTTAAAATGTTAATGTTTCTGAGAACATTTTTAAGAATATATTCTAAGAATGTATTCTTTAAAAAATTATAATTAACAAATAAAAATTGTATTTATGGTATACAACATGATGTTTTGAAATATGTGCACACTGTGGAATTGCTAATGAAGTTAACACTTGTGTTAGAGCAGTCAGATATCCAGACATGAGGAGGAGAAAGGAGCCCCAGGGAAGGGAGAAGCCTGGGAAGGCTTATGCCTGAAGGATCACCCAAAATTTGTACATTAATACCTTCTCTAATGCTAAAGTGGGTGGGCGCTTAGTCAAATGTGAGTAGGAAGGAGAGGAAGTGCCTACGCAGAAAGGGACACCTCTAAGATGCCCCAATAATCATTCACTCTGCAGTTAAAATGTTAGAATATCGCTAGCTAAATGCTGATAAGAAGGGCAAACAGGACATTCTTAAGAAAAACCTGGTGCCATAAATATAGATTAGGGTGGGAAAAAAATTCCAAAGAAAGATGCAGGCACAATAGCTATAGACTTGGCTGCCGAACAGTCTTCCTGAGATGGTGGTAATGAGCAGGGCTGCCATTGGGCAGGATTTGTCTCTGGCACAAGGTGCACACATGCACACCAACTAGTGATAAAGAACAAGGGTCCTACAAGTCTGGAACAGGAGCTAGGAGGAGACAAGGCAGAGACTTAAGGCAGGCGTGGAAAAACTAGACAAGACAAAGAGGTGGAGACTTGACACAGAGGCAGAAACTTCAAGAGAGTCCGACACAATAAAAACCCAAGGCAGAATTCTCAAGCTGCTGCTGGCTCACATCCTTCAGCTGCCCACTCTCCTTCATCTTTGCAGAATGTACTGTCTCTTTAAGTAACTTGCTGCTCTTTATTTTGCTTCAATAAATTCTCTTTGGCTAGATCAGTTGCTTGATGGAATGCTTTCTCCAAGTAAGACGAAGAACTGAGGATTCCAGCACTTCTCAGTAACAGCCTTATCTTACATACTTTTATTGTTTATTTGTGGTGAGAATACTTAAAATCTACTCTCAGCAATTTTCAAGTATATAATACATTGCTGCTAACTATAGTCACCAGGTTGTGCAATATATCTCTTTGTCTAAATTAAATTTTGTATGTTTGTCCAATATCTTCTCAGTTCCTTCCCTCATCTCCAACTCCTGGTAACTAACATTCTACTGTTTGCTTTTTGAGTTCAACTTTTTTAGATACACCATGTAAGTAAGATTACATGGTATTTCTCTTCTGTGCCTGGCTTATTTCACTTAGCATGTCATCCAGGTTCATCCATGTTGTCACAAAGGACAGGATTTCATTCTTTCTTATGGCTGAATAGTATTCCACTGTATCTATCTACCACATTTTCTTTATCCATTTATCCATTGTTGGACATTTAGGTTGATTCTATGCCTTGGCTGTTATAACATGAAAATATACAATAAACATGAAAATACAGATTTCTTTTCAGCATACGGGTTTCATTTCTTTTGGATATACATCCAGCAGTGGAAGTTCTGGATTATATGATAGTTTTATTTTCACTTTTTTTTTTTTTTAGTAAACTCCCTACTGTTTGTTTTCCATAATGGCTGTACTAAGATGTGAAGTGAAGGGAAGCCCTTTACTTTCTCAACATTTACCATCTTTTGTCTTTTTGATAATAGTTATTCTAAAAAGTGTGAGGTGATATCTCATTGTGGTTTTAATTTGCATTTCCCTGATGATTACTGATGTTGAGTATTTTTTCATATAACTCTTGGCCATTTGTCTTTGAAGAAATGTCTATTCAAATTTGCTCATTTTTAAATAACATTGTTTTTTTCTATTGAAATGTTTGAGCTTCTCATATATTTCTTCTCATATATTTTGCATAGTGACCTCTTATTTGATATATGGTTTGCAGATATTTTCTCCCATTCCATATGCTGTCTCTTCACTTTATTGGTTGTTTCATTTGCTGTGCAGATACTTTTAAATTTGGTATAATCCCATTTGTCTATTTTTGTTTTTATTACTTGTGTTTTTGTAATAAAACATGAAAAAAGTCATCGCTAAGACCAATGCCATGTAGCTTTTCCCCTATGTTTTTTTAAAGCAGTTTTGCAGTTCCAAGGATGTACTTGTACACCCTATGTTCTCCCTTCTCCTTGTTCCTCAGTCTTCCTCCCTCTGAACTCGAGTATTTCCACTCTCTGATCCTCAGCTCCTCTACAACAGTGGGTGCTAAGCTGAAGACAATAAAAATATTTCCTATAATAATTTTGTAAACAAACATGAAATAAACCCTGGTAAATGAAAGCTAAACAGTTAAACAAAAAAGTTAACTTGCAAATTAGACATTTCTTGAATTGACTTTCAGGGAATTGATCTATAGCTGTTTCATGTAAAGCAAACAGTGAGATTTAATAGTTATGGTCTTTAGGAAAATCCAATAATTGATTCTGTGAGGCTCTTTCTTGTCAATTCCCAGTACCATTTGATATTTTAACTCTAAAGTTTAACTCAAGGAAAGCAATTTTGAAAAAATAATACTAATAACCATACAATGATAACATTTGTCAATCACTAAATATGTTTAGTTACTGAAGTACATGGCTTTCCACTGTCTGCTATGATCCATTGATAACTGTGGTTCAGGATGTTTTCTGGGTCACTGACTTCTTTGAGAATCTGACGAAAGTTAAAAAAAAACTCTGGAGGAAACAGTCTCATGATATTTAGCTGGCATGCATCATGTTTGCATAATGGCTGGCAGTTGATTAGATTGATCAAGCATACATTCTGACTGGATGATATCTGAGCCATACTGGTTGTTAAATATTTTAAAAATCAGCCTTACATTATTGTTACACACCATAGGCTGTTAGGCTCCTCATGTAATGGAAATTAACACAGAGCCAAGTGGATTTCCCAGACAAGGCTTTACTGTGGGGCTTGTGCTCAAGCACAAGGGAGACAGCAGAGGTACAAGGATGTTTTTTAGCTGGCTCTCCAAAAGAGCCAGTAGGAATTTTTCATTAGGCAATGAGAGGGAACTGACATCCAAGGGTAGGGTAGGCTGGCTGAGCTTGGCTGCAATGGTTGTCTTGAGTAATGGGCTACCTTGTGGTCTGGCCAGAGGCAGCAAGGCTGAAAATCAATTGTTCAGCATTTCTTCCCGAGGTGGGACACTGCAACCTTGCTTTAATATTTGGATCGCTTAAGGCCAGTTTCTGGAATTCTTTAAGTAAAAGGCATAGCTAAACATTATGAGAGCATAGAAAAATGACTATTTTCTTTTTGTAACTAAACCTCAGGGTCAACAGGTATAGTGTCAGTTAGGTAGGTAGTAGTGTGGGTTTTGTGAAGAGAAGGAAAAAAAATGTGAAGGAAGAGACATATTCCACTCTTAGTCTATCTCATTAATAGCACCCAATTTTGTGTAAAGTATCAGGAGATTGTTAAGCTGCACCAAAAATCTATTTGAGGACCATTCAAACACAAAGGGCCTCAAGATAAGGGCTTCTGATCTATAGTCTGAGATAGGTGTGTGACTACTTGGCTTTCAAACTGATATAGGAATTAAGAAGAAATTATTTGGGTAGATAGTGAGGGTTTAGGAGTCCTTGGTAAAGTTTTCCTTTAAATGAAAAGCAGCCTCCCAAATATTTTCTTTTCTAACAACTAGCAGCCTGTAAAATTGAGGTGCAAACATAGACAAGCAAGTTGGAAGCTTGCATGGGTGAATGCCGGCAGTTGTGCCAATAGGCAAAGGCTACCTAGAACTGGGCATGCTCAAAATGGTGGCTCCATCTTCCCTTCCCTTTGCCAGCCACATGTACAGTAAGGAGCAGGCTACATGGCACCAGCCAGGCAAAGACCCAATTTGTATAAATAGATTAGGGTGGGGCAGCCAACTTACCTGTGCAGTGTGTAAATGTCATACCTAGTCCAGCCAATCTTTGGGCCCTATGAAAATCAGACACTGCCTCCTCAAGCCTGTCTACAAAATCCGTGAACTCTGTTGCAGCCTGGAATTCCCATTTGGGCACCCCTACCTTTTGCAAAAGAGAGAAATGTTCTCCTTTCTCTTTCTTTTGCCTATTAAATGTCCACTCCTAAACCCACTTCTTGTGTCCATGTACTCAATTTCCTTGGCGTGAGACAATGAACCTTAGGTATTTACCCCAGACAATGCAGCTTCAAAAAACCGTTTTCTGTAAATACCAATATTTTGACCCAGGTTTTTATTACTTATTTGTGTGACTTATTTCAGGCAAAGGTTTTATACAATCAGAAACAGTTTTAGTATATTCTTAATCAGTATTTAATAAAATTTTGTCTATATTCCCAGTTTAAGTATAATTCACTTATTTAACAACTTTTCTTGGTATCAAACCTTGCACAGATTCACTATTATGGATGGCATTACTCCAGTCCCTTATCAAAGAGTGGCATATGGACCAGTAGCAGTATTGGAATCACTTGGGAGCTTGTTTGAAATGCAGAATTTATTCCTGTTTAACCAGAATCTGCATTTTAACAAGATCTTAAAGTGATTGGCATACATTTAAAGTTTGAGAAGCAATTCTCTAGTAAAGGTTACTTTGATTTTTTTCAGCAAGATTGTGGTTGCCCCAAGTCACAGAGAAAAGTTAATGACACACTTTGAAACTGGATGTCAAATTTCCCAATGACTTTCTTCACAAACAAATCTACTTGTAACATCAACTAAGCTGTTCTGTTGATTTTGCTTTTCAGGTGAAAATTTGTTCTTGAGCTTGATTTTGGAGAATGTATGTAGCTGAGTATCTCTAAACAACAATACCCTTGAGACACTGCATGAAAATACTGCAATTTTCCATCTGGTAAAAATAGAAATAACTGAAATGATGTAAAAAGGCTTAGCTCCTTTGTAAGTTTCAGAAGTAGTGTGGCTAATGGTGATGTTGGGGAGGGCTAGGGTGTCCAGATAAAATACAGGACATCCAATTAAAATCGAATGTCAGATAATTAACAAAATGTTTAAAATATAAGTGGGTCAGGAGTTTCTTGAACACTCCAAATTATTGCATGAAACCGACTTAAACTAAATAGCCAAAGACACACCCATATCCAAAATAAAAAAAAAAAGGTAAACCATTCATTTTTTATCTAAAGTTCAAGTTTACTGGGTGTCCTATATTTTTATTTACTGAGCCTGGCAGCCATAGGGAGGGCAAAACTTGGTTGAGGCATTATTAATGGAAAATCAGAAGATAGTGCAGGGCGGGGAGCGGGGCCCCCGAAGATCCTCCCAGTTCTCTGCTCCAATGTGCCCAGGTCCTTGGCCTCTCTTATCCCAGGAATGGGGAAAAGGGCCCGGGACGTGCAGTGAGCTTACCTTTCAAATAAATATTGTAGACCCAAAGAGTTTAGAAGAGAGCCATTTATTAGGCAGAAAGAGAGAGAGAGAGAGAGAGAGAGAGAGAGAGAGAGAGAGAGCGAGCGCGAGCGAGAGCGCACAAGCGCACTCCCACACTTCTATGGGAGGGGATCCAGGGGAGGAATCCGTATAGGTAAGGAGCAGTGGGGTTTTAACCCTAAAGTTATTCTTGCCCCATTTATGTTCTCGCCCAATGAGAGGAGTTCTTTCAAATTTCCTCTGGAGTGATTGATCTTTGGCTTTGATACGGGATTGGCTACAGAGCCTCCTCCTCCCAGAGCTTTTGTCAGGCTTTTTAAACAAAGGAGCACACCTGGATTTTCCACCTAGCCTGCCCAGGGGAAAGTCAGACAAAGAACTCTAGGTTCCTGGATGGGGGTGTAGACAGAAGCACGGTGCCGGGAAATTCCTGCCTTTGAAACCACGCCCCTTGTGGACTCGGGAAGAGAAGTTTTTTGTTCCTTAACACAGTCTCTCAATAGTATGCAAATATCACCTTTGAAATAAAACATAAAGGTAACTTTTGAGACTTCTGAAATCACTTTCTGTGTGTTGGGACAGCCAAATTTATTCCTATTTTGTATTAATAAAGGTTTTACCTTTAAGAATGCATGTACCCTTGATGCAATAAGTAAAACACCAGCCCAAATCTCAAATCAATTGCTATGATGTTAGAAAACCAGGTATGCCGCCAGGCAATTAACTGTTGACAACTGCCAAATTCAGTAGATATTTTTGCAGCTATGTCCTGCGAGATTTTTAATTTTGGTAGCCTTGACTGCACAGCTGCAGAGGGAAGGATTACTCCAGTATGCTACAATCAACTGTCCTGTAGAAGACACACTTGTGGCTCTTCAGGCACAAGAAATAGGAAATGCTTGTTAATTCTGCCTTACAATTCAACCAAATTAAACTTGACAAGTATTCAAAAAATACATAATTTTCCAGGTAACTAGTTTAGATGATATGAGGAGTAATAAATAGAATGGTAATTAATTCCTTGGGTAACTTATTCCTATGAATTTAAACTAGGTTGGGCTATGACATGCTCCTGGGTAATTGTAAAGTGAATTATGCTGGAGCAGTGTTTTGCATCAGCAGTTTTTTAAAAATATAAAATTAAAAGCTGCAAGCAAACTGTTAAAGAGACTAATTCATTTCAGTGGACTATGTTTGGCATCATCTAAAAATGGGAAAGTTTTATCTGTAGTAGATGGTGGCATTGAATACTTATTTGAGAAATGCATACTTCAGTGTGTATTTCCCTAGGAATTCCTTTCTGTTTATTTCACCATCATTATTTTCACTGAAAAAAATTTACTCTTGCTTCTAAAAACCCTTTAGTGTGAAAAATACAAAACAATCACAAAAGTAGATAAATACATAATAAAGCCACAAATATCCATGACCAATCGTAATCCCACATTGGAAGAGAAATAAAAACAGCTTGCTCTCTGTTTTTAATCCTCTTCCAATGTGGGATTACTTTGAAAAAAATTCCAGACATCATATTTCACCTCTTTATATTTCAGCATAAATCTCAAAGACAAGAGTTTCCCTTTAAAACAGCCACTATTCTCATTACACCTTCTGCCAAATAAACAAAACTCTATAATATCAAGTATCTAGTGGTCATATTTCCTCTACTCTATAGATATTAAATTTGTTTTTGCAGTTTGTTCAATTGATATCAAAACAAGGTTTCATTTCATGTGCAGGGTCTGTATGGCAAACGTGCCTGACAGCAATAACTTAAGCATACCCTGAAAATGACCCTATGGTCTAAAGAGAAGGTATGTTCAGGGTTCTGGGCTAAGGAATCTGGGAATGGCCAACCTGAAGATTAATTCCTTATCTATAAGAACCCTTGAACCCTTGGCCCATCCCACTGAAGTCAGTCCATACAAAAGGGGAATAAAGCCTTTTGTTTTGAGTTAAATGAGGGTTTCCAGGTAGATGTTTCTAGGGGGAGGATGACGGGTGAAAGTGCCATGTAAACCGCACGCTTTCTATAACAGTGGTACTTCTCCTGTCTAGCCTGCCACTACTGGACTGTCCTATAGGTAAGTTCCCACAATAAACCCTATATCTCATTTGCTGGCTCCAATCTCTTCCTCAGCCTCTAAAACATGGTGCCATTCCTATGGAAGCCAATAGAGGTCCAGCACAACAATTGGAACACTAGCCAAGAGGTTGGAGAAAACCTCTGAGATGATGGGATTAGGGAAGTGGAAATCCAGGGGGAGGAAATCTTGGGCTGGTCATTCACATCTATGTGAGGCCCAGTAGTTGCTATTCTTCATGGCTGGGGGCCAACACGTGAGTACAGGGATGCCCCTAAAACACTGAAGGGTCTGGAAGAGTTGTTGCAGGGGATGGATCTAACTAAGTGAAAGTCAGATGGCTGAGCCATTTTAGCCTCACTTGACTGGCCACTCCTGCTGCACTCCAAGTGGTCACTGAAGCTGAACTCACAGCACAGACAAGGGTTCATCTGTTACTGGATGAAACTGAATGTAAGGGAGAAGGTACGTAGGGGGCGATAGAAAGTAATAGAAGAAAATAATGAGCAAAAGAGTGACTGGAAAATACAAAAATCAAAGAGAAACACAAAAGGTGAAACTGGGGAAAGAGATAATGTAAAAAGTAAGAAAGAGTACAAGCAGTGAGAGGATGCAGAGAGGTTGGCAGGGCTGGGGGAAGGTTCTGAGGCTCAAGCAACAAGCAGGTGCTGGGAAAGGGTGCGGTGTGGCCACTGAGGCGGGACAGATCCCAGGACCTGGGGGATGCAAGTGAGAAAGGGATGTGGAGGAGAGTTTAGGATCAGGCTGCTTAAAGAGTAGTGGGTTAATCAGGCCCCAAAGCCCCTAAAGGCCAGGAAGGCACTATATATACTAATTCCAAATATGCCTATGGAGTAGTACACACCTTTGGAAAAATCTGGACAAATTGGGGCCTAATAAATAGCAGGTGGAAAAAATTGGTACATGGGAACCTGGTCAAACAAGTTTAAAAAAAACCTGTTTCCAGCAAAAATAGCCAGAGTTCATGTAAATGGCATCAGGGAGGAAGCACTATAGAAGGTGTAGGGAACAGGCTTGCAGATAAAGCTGCTAAGCAAGACTTCCTGGGGGAAGACGTTAAACTGTTAAGCCTAATCCCAGATATTCCTAAGGTGGTATTAAAACCCCAATTTTCTAGAGAGGAGGAGGAAACACTGGGCAAGATCAGGGCACTCAAACTGAGGATGGGAGGTGGGTGCTCCCTGATGGGAAAGAAATAACAAGCAAACCCATAATGAGAGAACTAATGTACATACCAAATAAGGGAAGTCTCCAGCCTACGTGTAATGCAATACTCACAAATGATGGACTTGTTTATATCCTTCCTAAACAAGTGTGTGGGAGTTGCATAATCTGCCAGAATAAAACAAAAAGGTAGTTAAAAAAAAACAACACTGGAGGAAAAACTCCTGGGTTAAGACCATTTCAAAGCATTCTCGTATTTAGGTGTGACTACTGACCTTCCTACTATGGAAACCAAAGATCGATTCCCAAGAAATTATACACTGGCCATAGCCTCCATCCTGTCATCCCTTAGGTTAAAAGGACTTCTAACTCAAACACTGCCTTCTGAGTTCACAGTTCGCCACTTCCAGCCTGGCGGCTTAATTAAAACTTGGAAAGAAGACAAGCTCCACCCAAGCTGGGAAGGTTCGTATCACTGAAACAGTCGTATGAACAGCTAAACAAGGGTGGACACATTATACTTGGGTCAAGAGACTGGTAAAAGAACTCCCAGATGGAAGGAAAAGGGGTGAATGAGAGGGATACAAGTAACCCAAGGAGCCCCTAAAGCTAACCCTAGAAGAATAAAAATAAAGTCAAAGATTTAAAACAAATGTAGAAATTGAAACAATATGGAGATATGAATGCCTGGGCTAAATTTTCAGTACAAGCCCTTAATAACAGTAACTGTTATGGGCCTGCTGCTGGTCAGCCTCAGGCACAGGTGGTTCCATTTCCCCTTGGATGGGATACTAATCCCAAAGGAATGCACTGTATGTTGGCTGTATACTAAAACACAAATGCCTGCAGAAATGAAAACTGTAAGAGTCTGTCATTGCTCTTTCCCGCCTTGTGGAAAGCAGATCCCCGGAGCAATCTACTCATTCTCTGTTGGGAATATAAATCACTCTTCATGTCTCTCTAGACAGGGTATGGGGTTCAATTAGCCCTTGGGGGAACTCTCTATCTTCACTCATATCCTAAATGTCACCAGTAAGTCAAACTGTGGCAACTGCTCAGCTTTTCATATACCCGGGGCAGATGTTTGCTGGCACTGCTGGAAGGGGAACCTCTGTAACTCATTACTGTCCAATTGGATCAGGACTTGCGATTTTGTGCAACTGACCATTCCATTCACTCTGGCATTCCATAAATTACCTAAAGAAACTCATAGTCATCAAGACCAGAGATATTTAACAAGTTCTTTTAACCCATATATATATACACACATAAAATCCATAGAAGTTCCCAGGGGAGTTCCTGATAAATTTAAGGCTTGAAACCAAATATCTGCTGGATTTGAGTCAGCACTTTTCTGGTGGTCAACTATTAACAAAAATGTAAATTAAATCAATTACATCTGTTATAATCAGCAAAGATTCATCAGTTATATTCAAGATGTCCTTAAGGTTATAGCCAGCCAACTACGTGCCACCAGCCAAATGGCATGGGAAAACAGAATTGCATTAGACATGATATTATCAGAGAACGGTGGTGTATGTGTTATGCTGGGCAAAAAATGTACTTTCATTCCCAAGAATACCGCCCCAGATGGAACTACTACAAGAGCACTCCAGGGACTAACAACTCTGGCCAATGCGCTGGCAGAAAATGCAGGAATAAATGGCCGTTTTACTGACTGGCTAGAAAATTGGTTCGGAAATTGGAAATAAATGGTAGCTTCAATTCTTACATTTCTTGTAATTGTGGCAGGGGTCTTAACAACTATAGAATGTTGTATCATTTCTTGTTTGAGGGGTTTAACACTAAGGTTAATTGAAACAGTTATCAGTAAGCAGATGCTCCTAATGGTCCAACCCGGCAAAATAATCTCCTCCTCCTATAAAGAAGAAAGTAAACAACTTCTAGAGAAGTTTAAAAAACAAAGTAATTTAAGTGAAAATGAGAACAAAAAGGGTAAAAAGAAAAAGAGGAGGGAATTATAGAAAATAACCTACATGTGGTGGTCCATTTTCAATTCTAAGTACCTTAATATAGGTTTAAGGAGGCTACATGGAAATAAAAAAAAGCCGCAGCAGAAGATGAAAGCCAAGGCCTTGGAATTCTCATAAGGGCAATGGAGGCCAGGGTGTACAGAACCAGAAGCTGCATGTAGAGCTAAGTATTTATTGATATTGGTCACCAAAGAATAAACAGACTCTGCTTGCCCTAGTGGATACTGGAGCCAAATGCACTCTCATGTATGGTGACATTCATACATTCCAAGACTCTCTAACAGCAATAGCTAGTTATGGGGAAGTGGGACATTAAAGTCACACAGGTTGGACTAGTATTTCAAGTTGGAAGACTGCCACCAAAACCCTAGTTAGAAAACGTAGCTCCTATCCTGGAATACATCTTGGAAATGAATATATTATCCAGCTTGAGCCCCCAGATAACTTGCTGGGGAACTTCAACAGAGTTA